GATGTTCAATTTGCAGCAAAGTCATACATTTGTAACTAGCCCCATGAGGTCAAGGTTGATTGTGACATTCTGGCATGTGCAGGGGACACACCATGGCTGGGCTGGATGATGAAGACCTGCTCAGCACACAGCCTTCTGCCCGCTCTGCCTTTCCCTATGTGTAGAAGTGTTTTCATGGACTTGAGTTCCTAAGATGGAGTTTTGAGATGATAGCCCCTCCACCTTCTCAGGGCTGGTCCTTGAATAATTTCTTTCCCACCAACTCTCTTCTCTCAAGTATTAGCTTTCATGTGGCAAGAAAACAGATTGTGTCTGGCAACACTCCTGGTGTCAGGAACTGTGATTTCGAAACATGTATTTGGTCTTGGTACATAGCTCCTAAAATCCTTGGGATCTCTTAAGCAATACTAAGGAGAAAGGGCTGATCACTAGCCCAACCAACACCAAGTGAGAGGGCTGGGACTTTCATCCCCACACAAGCCTCCAGGGAGAGGAGTGGTACTGAAGGTGAAGTTCATCACTGGTGGCTATGATTTGATAATAATGCCCCTGTAACAAATCCCCCATAAGCATCAGAAAGACAGGGTTTGGAGAGCTGGAAGTGTGTAGGTTCCTGGAGGGTGGTGCTCCAGGACAGGGCAGGGAAGGTCACTCTCTTTCCCCTTGCCTCACCCTAGCTGTTCATCTGTATCATTTGTGATGTATTTCACAAGAAGCCAGTAAATGTGAGCAAGCACTGGCTCGCTCACACTGGGAGGCACTCTAACAAACTAAACATGGGGAGGGTGGGGTCCCTGATTTATAGCTGCTTGGTCAGATATACTGATGGCACACCTGGGGATGGCAATTGGCATCTGGGGGGTGCGGGCAGTCTGGAGCATGGAGCCCCCACCTCCAGAGAGATGGTGTCAGAGCAGAACTGTGTTAAGAGGACTCCTGGATGGTGCTGGAGGCTAAGTGTGTGGATAAATCACCCCCACTGGATTTCAGATTCATGCTGTGAGAGTACCCAGTAGGAAAAACTGGGTTTGTTTCTTCCTACATCTTCTGAGCATCCGAGGAAAGAGAAATGGAGATTTCTTTTTGACTGACATTTTATATTTAAGTGTGTTAAGTTTTAAATGTAATAGGAGATCCCTGGCATGAGTTTTCTGTTTTAATTCTGAGAATTCTCTTGGGGATCTTTCAACACAGGCACAGTAGAAATCCACTGGTTAGTAGGTAGAGGACCAGGTATTCGGGAGCCCATGTCACTCAACACAATTCACTTTTCTGCATCTCTCTCACCACACCTGCCATGTAGAGGTAACACTCCCTGTTCTATGTATTCCCCAGAATCATGGGAAGGGAGCAAACTATTTTAAAATATTTAAAAAACAGCAAAGTGCTCTAAATTCCAAGTATTGTCATATCATGTGCATTTAGAGTGCTCTACACAGAAATTTCAATCAGCCACAGGTAAGCCATGCGTCTGCTTTCTAGGTGCCATTCCTCACTGTCGGTGAAAGGATCATGGGATAAGGATCATGGGTAGGCTAGATAATGACCCTCCCCAAACATATTCTGTCTCAAGATGTCTTGCTAGTCCCAGAACCTGTCAACATGGTGTGTTACATAGCTAAGGACACTGAAGATGTGATTAAGTTAAAGACATAATTGTGATGGGGAGACTACACTGCATTTTTCAGGAGGTCTTATACTAGGGAGCAGGCATGGGAGAGTGTTCAGGAGGGAGTTGTAACAATTGTGGGAGGGAAGAGAAAAAGAGGGGAGGAGGATTGATGTTGCTATACTGATGGTTCTGAAGTCCTAGGAAAGGCCCAATAGCTGAGGAAGGCAAGAGACCTCTAGAAGTTGGGAAGGCCTGACACCTCTACAGAGGCTGCCATTCATACACAGGGAACACACCCAGGCTGACAGCTTGATTTTAACCTTTAACCTCAAAGTCTATAAAATGGTAACCGCCTATGGTTTTAAGTCACTAAACTTTTGGTAAATAGGAAACTAATATTATCATGCAAACACAGTCATCTATCATCCCTCCACTCAAAGTCATGCTTCTTTATAGAGTGTATCTCTGACCAGTTTCTGAGTTGGTTACCCAGAGGTTTTGCACCCAGACTAAAGTCATCATGACCCCTCCACTGGCCAGATAACTGAACACCACTGTTTCAGAGGGGCCAGCTGATGACATGGTCTTCAGTGTACACACCTGAATCCTCCTACATCTAACAAGCTTTTCCTTAAATTCTCTGGGAAGTGGACTATGTCTTCTACTTCTACTAGTAGAAATATTCCAAAATACTTAGAAAAATAAGTTGTCTATGGGCTACAAGTCTTTCACCTACATTTTTTCATTATTCTCTCCTTAGTAGACATGGAAATTAAGAAATAATATAATTAATAAGTAAGGTACTCATTAGCCTCCATTCAAGTTTTCTTTTTTAAATCTGTCTTTGAATTTCTCTATTTTGATTTATTTTTTATTTTTATCTTATTGTTGTACATTGTGACATTTACAAAAGTGCTTCCAGTGTATCTTAGTTAAATTCACCCCTCCATCATTCTCCTTTATCCTCCCTCTGTTCCTTCTTGAATGGTTTCAACAGGTCTCATTTTTCCATTTTCATACTCGAGTACATAAATTTCCACACAGTCACCCTCTATCCTTTCCTTAAATCCTCCTCTGTGCATTTCCCCCCTCCTCAATGTTTTCTTAGCAATTTATCTGAATCTTTACGTATTTGGGATTGTTTTATATTGTCTGCCTGTGTCTTATAATTCAAAGCCATATACCTGCTGGACAAAATGAATGAACTTTTCTTAATATCAATATACAAAACATGTAAAAGTTGGATGTGATCTAAGAAATAAAATCAGGCAGAAAGGAAAGAATAAGTTTCAATTTTAGCCCTGTTTATGGTCTTTGCTGTGACGTCAGGCAAATCATGTGAATTGCCATGTTCTCCCTGTGACAACATCTGTCCTTTCAAGGAACTTGGACTAAATATCCAGACACAGCCTATAGTCATAAAACAGAGCATGAAGTATTTTAGCAATTCTGTTGAGAAACTAACCTCCACCTGCCCATTACTCCTCCATAAAGGTAAGGTGGGTGGTAGTGAGGCTGGTTCGGACTTTAGCAATCTATGAACCCTATATAGCAAAGCACACTATGGAATACTGAATAACAAGTGTCTAGAGACTTAATGAATGGGAAGGGTGGGGAAAAAGCAGGGGAAGCAATGGAGAGCTTGGGACATCAAGGCAGTGCAGAGCTCCTGAGGGTTTCTGAAAGATTCTCCTGGCCTCCTGCCTATACCACTGCAGGGGTCCACTGGCATGTGATGTGACCCTTTGGGGCCCTTGGCAAGCTGTGCTCACCTCCATCTCCAGGGTCTGGCATTGTAACAGTTGTGCACAATACATGAATGATGCACCAAGCAGCCCTTCTCTGCTTCTCAGGGCTATGACCTGGGTGCCATTCACATCATGTGATGTGAGAGGTACTCCTTGGAGTTATGAAAACAGCAGCCCCAACTCCTATCAAGGAGGCTCAGGGGACTGGACGACTGCAGCTTTCTAGACAGACAATGAAAACCAGTGTGGGGACGGCAGTGGTGCAGAAGGGAAAATGGACAGCAATATAAGAGAGGCCTGGGAGACACCCTGAAGTGCCAGTGTTGATGCAAAATCTTGCTTGTCTTGTACCCTGTGTTCCTTTACTGTGATTCAGTAATGATCTCTCGCACCCAACTAGAAGGCTTGTCACGCATCGCTGGTTAAACACAAGTCACTGCTATTGTAAGCCTCCAAAAAACTGTATTGACCTAATTTTTCTACTTTAGGATCTAGTACTTTAATCAAAATCCAATAAGCTATAGCAATATTTTAAAGAATTGGATAAAGAAAACAAAGTTCCCAGGGAACTACCATTTTATAAAAGCATATCATATACTCAAGTGTAGAAGCATTGCCTTGAATCCTGTGTCAGAGAGATCCTTGCTAGAATCACACTGACCACCTTTATTTTGACAATTTGTTTCCCAAATGTGGGTTAGATAACATAGGAAACTGACATGGGAAGCATTCAGTTACTGAAGCAAATATCCAACTCTAATGGAACATTAGAAGAAATGTGTCTCCCATCAACAAACAAACTCCAGTGCATTTTGTCTCTACAGAAATGCACTGAAAACACACCACTCTTTTTGAAATTAGACAGCATATATTTGAATTAATAAATAAAATCTTTACAGTTTTAAAAATACCAGATGATTACTATTTTTAGAAACAAACCAAAATGAATTAAGGAGCAGAGTACAAATGTTGCTTGATATCTAATGCAAAAGTGTAAGTAGCTAGCTAAAGAATGAGAAAAGAAAAAAGAATAAAAGGAAAGACTTCTCGAGATCTGTGTTTAAATTTAAGTGTATTACCTTGGGCATTAAACATGCTGCCAGCTACCACTTAATGAGCACCTGAGCTATCATTTTAATGACAGCGTGACAATCATTATCTATACGTTGATATTTCCCTGAAAATCATCTGTACTGCAGTTAACATAGTTAAGAATGGAAACTGACTATACCATTTGTAAAAAATAGTATTATGTTGTGATGCTTGGCTTATACCATCAAAAATAACATACATATATAATTATAATTTAAAAGTCAACAAGTGCCCAGATGCACAGTCTCAATAAGCAGCCTCACTTCATACATAGTCTAAATAATGCATCTCATGGATTGTTTAAGAAGGTGATTTGGGGGCTAAGGGAATGTGTCAGTAGTACAGCACTTATCTAGCATGTATAAGACTTGACAGATGAATACCACAAAACTCAAATTATCTGACTCATTTAAGCACATGCACCATTAATGTATGATGCAAGTGATCGTATAATAGCCTATGGCAATACACCGTCACAGCATTCTGGAAATCTTATTTCCAAATACGAGTTTTATCTCTATTTTCAAATACTAGAAGTTAAAAAATACCTCTTCCACAAAGCTGTCTTTCTTCTCTAGCATTTCTCGTAAGGTCTGAAGAATTTTAATGCACAGTTTTTCTTCTTTCTCCATTAGTTTCTTTGTATGATTAATCAACCTTAAAACAAAACATTAAACCTTTAAAACAACAGAGATTTCTATTTAAGTTATTTACAAATATCATGTTAGAGAAAAAAAATCACATTTAAGAATATGAAGTAAACCAGATACACATACTCAAAAGTTTCAAAATTACATTTCAGCTCATAAAATTTCTATGATAAAACATCCTTAGTGCTTTACAGGTAGTACATCTCAGCGTTTCTCAGACTTGCTTGGCACATTGTTTTAGTGGAACATAACTCTCTTTGAGAAACAATGAAACACTGGTACTCTCAATCCCATCTATTTGGCTAGTAGAAAAAGATGAATATATTATGTCTTATTATGGTATGCTCTATGGTATTATGGTATGTTCTATGTACTGTGTTACATTAATTATATAGTAGCAGTGGAATCATGCAACACTGTAACCTTAGCATGTCAGGCCATTTTCCACTGTTCATTAATAATAATGAGCTATTTTTCCATATTAGGACTTAGTACAAACGGGGAGTTTCTGTGATTAGAAGCAAAAAGTAACCTCAAGACAATCTATCCTTTTGTAATAATTCAGACAAAAAAACTCTACTCATAGTTTTACAGTGGCTCTGTTAAGAGATTTTCAGCATCATAGTTACATACCATCCACAAGACTCAAAGTCAAGTGACATTTTCATGATCAGAATACATACCTTACCATGTATAGTTCATGTTGTTAAAATGACAGTCCTCAAATTACCCTGCAGGACATGTCTTCGCAGAGAAACAAAATGATAAAAATAAAAAGAAATGATCCAACTCTAGTTACATAGCATGGCTGCTGTGGAACATGACCCTGAGGAACAGCAGCTTTCCCTAGTCAATGCGTAGGAAGTGCTTATCAGGTGTCAAGGCCAAGTATAATAACTTCCCTAGGGTTCTCTCAATACAGCCTCACCACAAGCCATGAAATGGATTCTATAATCAGGCTAAATTCCCTAAAGAGACAACAGAAGCCCAGAGATAATACAACTTGCCACTGGCTACATAATTCCAGTGGTGGGACTTCGAAGTAGACAAAATTCGTCAAGAGCACTCTGTGGCAACATGGCCCAGATCACTGACCTCTTGAGTTTTGGGGTCGATGTACAGAGTTCCAACACACACCAGGCTGCATTTGCTGCAGTTGCCCAGCATGAAAAGTGCTACTCACAGAGGAACTGGCAAATGCTATAACCCAAAGAGATCATTTCATTCTGTTGTGAGGAACTGCTTAGGGCTGATTAGGAACTTTCAATGAAGAGAGATCAATCAATTATGAAAACTTCACCTGGAAGGGACAGACAGGGAGAGAAGCATCCCCACAAAGGGCACAGGCTGAAAGCTGGCCATCATGTCCAGGAAATAGTACATATACCAACCGCCAGCTTATATTTAAAGACCTAGAAGAGGAGAGACTAGGAGACATGGTTTGGAAAGAAGGGACTGGAAATTAATGATAAAGAGTCTCAAACATGAGCCTCACATGGGGGTGCAAGTCTGAATGCCTAGTAATTCAGAGGGTGAGGCAGGAGGATCGTGAGTTAGGGGTCAGTCTAGGCAACACAACATGACCCAGTCTCAAAAAAACCTACAAAAACAGCTTGATTGTATTCTAAAGAAAATAAAAAAAACAACTATACTCAAGGGCCTGAACTATTTCCTATGTTCAGGAAAGATGCCATGGATGAAAATGGGAAAGATGAAGAGGAGGGATGAGAACAAGGTGAGGGATGACCAGGGCACCTGTCAGTGCCCAGGCATAAGAGGTAACTCAGAAGCATCACAGCAGACCTGTACATTATGGAGGGAAGCGGAAGAGGGACCCTGTAGTGTTCAGACTGGGTTAACACATGGATGGTGATCCTATTAACCACTGCCTACTTCCCGCTGAAGGAGGGGCATGCAACGAAGAACCTGCGCTTCAGTCCAGCAGGCAGAAAGAGCTCTAAAGTTCCATTATTTGTTTTCCTTTGAATACAAGAAAATAATTTTTTGGACAGTGTAAATTTCTTTTGATTTTTCTTTTGTTTCAAAGCTAAGCATTTCCATCTTCTTTAACCCTTCCTTACAGAATATTTAATTCACTAACCATATTAAAAATATCAACCATAAGAATGTATGATCTCTTATGGGTTTATAAAAGGAATCTGTACATCACATGTTTGGTTGGTCAGGATCAATGATTTTTAAATATTTTTCTATGATCAAAATAACCCAGTTCACATGTGAAGCTATGTACAAGCTGACACAGTTTTCTCTTACTATATGAAATGTACCCTGATATTTTATATTTTTTCTAATTCATGTTTTTAAATTAACAGGTTGTCTCCACTGCAGTTAATTTAAAAGTACAAATGAATCACATCCTACAGTTGGAAAAACACTGAGCTTCTACTTTTTAAGAGAGGAGTAGTTGCTGACTTGCATGGACCAAAATCACCCGATGAACACCCCATTAATTTCTTCTTCTCTCACTCTGAGGAAGCAGAATCCATTGCTTTCCTGAGGTCTACCTTTCACATATTCCACAGACTCACCTAAGTCAACAGGTTCCAAGAATTAGATTCACTTGAGAAAGTAGGAAAGCCAACATAGGCCTTGGCTCAAACTTTGCAATCTCCAACTAATCTTTTCCAGAGTACTATACACAGCAACACAAGATCCCTCAAACAGCTATGAATAAAATTGGCTTCTAATTTTGTTAGTCTTACAAATGAAACTTTTGGTTCTCTTCACAGAGTAGGAAGAGAGGATAGGAGAAGCAGAAAACAGACATTCTTGAGTCCCTAGACATAACACAGCTATAATACCACAACACTCTTCCCTAACCACTAGAGCAAATATGGCAACTTTCCTCCATCGAATGTAGGACTTGTAGTATGTTCCCATAATCCTATCACTTCCGGACCAGCCTTGACACATAGTTCTTGGCAAGAAGTTTCCTTTAAAGGGTGAGACAGAAATGTCTCAGGTTTTAGGGGCCATAGAGTCCTGTGGCTATGAATTGACCTTGCATGAAAGCATACAATACATAAATGAATGTGTGGTTGTATTTCAATAAAACTTTCACTAATGATTGTACAGTCCAGAACTGATGGACTCAGTCACCACAGTCAACAGAGACTTCCAGCCCTCTTTCAGCAATACCCTCAACCCCACAGGAATTGGCTGGCTGGATACTGGTCAGGTGTTTCGTAGCCTCATTCTACTTCCTCTATCTATTGTCCTGTGACCGAGTGCCTTCCATAGAAAGGCTGCCAGTTCTTTCTGGAGTTAGTTACACTTTTCCTCCTAATTGCTTATACCTGCGACTCTTCCTTGAGAATTTGTCACTTATTAAGTATATGTTAGCTATGATAGATCTGAAAATACCACAAATGCTGAGAAAAATGAGTAAATGAAGAGCAGTAGACAAGGTGGAAGATTGTGAAGGTGGCATGTCCACCAACTGAGCCTGAGACTTAATAGCTCTTTACCTGAATGTGGTCTGAGCCTCTCCTCAGCAGGTGTGACCTCCCAATCCCTCAGGGTGTTTATGCAGATTAGATAAAGTAACAGGTAAACACAGAGGACAATCACACCGCAGTAGACCTCAATAAATGTTAGCTCTCTTCCCGTTCTACATTAATGAAAATCAGTGACTTTAAACATGGATCTTTTAAAGGTCACATATATAGCTATAGAAATGAATTACAATTAGAATATTGTTCTGCACCCAACAATGACCCACTTCATTTTCAATAAATTTTAGTAAAATAGGATAACTTGACCTTCACCAAAATAAGATTTCAAATGACTCAATTATTTGGGAAGAATATTTTGACATGGATTCAGGCCGTTCACATACTTTGTGGACTGTGGGTAAATATCATGGAGTAGAGGCAGCAATGCTGCAGACTGACTTGGCTTGACAACACTAGCAGAATCTGGATGGACCACTTACTTGGACATGAAAGCACCACATCTTATTCTCGCGTCGCTTCCCTCGGGGAACAGCAGTTCCGGACTGTACAATACATCAACCAGCACTGAGAACTCAGCTTGCATCATCGGGCTGAACTGCTGCTCCAAAGAGGCCACGACATCCTAAGACAGCAAGCACAAGAGAACCCATGTGAAGACTTGATCAGATCTCATCTTTTGAAGATGTGACAAACCCAGGAATACTAACTAGAGATGAGACATGGGAATTTCAGAGAAGATGGAGCTTGTCTTCCCAGGGCACCAAATGTCTACTTTAACATAGTCTGTTTTATGTATAATACTGCCTGGGGCTCTGGACTTGTTCACTTAAAAGATAAAAGGAGGGTGGATAACCATAAAATTTCAAAGGAGATAGATAGATGATTAATAGATAGACAGATAGATAGATAGATATGTGATTGATAGACAGACAGATGGATGGATGACAGAGGTAGATATATATGAGGAAACTGAGTAAACATATGGTACAGACCTTGTAGTACCTAGGGCTGTGATGGAAACACGACAAATTGGAGTAAACTGGAAAAGTATGTGGCAAACAGCTAAAAACATTTCACATGTGCCATGGCTCACCCAGAACCAACCATTTCTCAAGTTGGAAAATTCATTGATATGTTATTTGAAGCACATTGGTAATATACAGGGCTTCAATGAGATTCAATAGTGTCTCAAATTCTATTTATTCACAGACCTTCTTGGTCACTTCCCAACAACCTCTTTTCACACCCTTCTTCACTAAAAGGATCCCAATATTGTTCTGAAGCAGATAGCAACACTCCTTGGGGAGATGAGCCCCTTAAGCTTAGAGTCAAGGTTGGCTACGTTAAGCCAGTCATGGTCACTCCATTACCCCTCTTGGCATGATTTCATGATACAACCAACAAATGAAATACCAGGTGAAGTCTGCTGAGTGCATGGAGGGCCAGGGAGGTTCTCTCAAAACCACATACTGTTCCCATTGCAGCTTGATGACTCAAGGCAGCCCTCGTGTGATTGTGGGAAACAGACATTGGCTTTATGGCTCTCTCCTATCAAGCTGCTCAACTGGCCAACTCAGTAACACTCATGCGCCAGGATTTTGAACATGAAACAGTCCATTCCTAATTGTTTAAGTCACCTTTAGCTGAAATTTGTGACATTAAACCTGGAAGTACCCTACGTGATCATTTCTAAAACAACCTATGAACAATGATAATTTCCTGAGCATTCCCCTTTTCACTTTTAAACAGTGTGAGGAGAGAAAAAAAAAGTCTCATATTAAGCAACAACTTACAGCCACACCTTGTTTGTGGAGCAGGAATTTGCTCTCAACTACAGAAGCGAAGATGGGGATCTCACTCTCTTGGTTTCTATGGCCACATTTCAGGAGCTGACTTGTCACTGACATCTCTTTCTCCTTCAGCAGAAGTGAGCATTTCTACTTTTCCTACTCTTAAAATAAGTCTCCTAGGAAATTTCTGAAAACAGTTAAAGGAGACTCACAGGAAGGAAATAAAGGGGGAACTGCTTATTACATAAAGGAGGGAATGCATTTAGTGAAATATCACTGAAATTGACTTTTAGCTTATTTCTTCATTTCATTCACTAAACAAATGATACTCCAGATGCTATGATGGAAATTCTGTCTTAACCTCTTCTCTTAATCTAGGTCCAACTATGTGATCTCTGTAAGTCTTGGCCGCCCCATGTGAATTTGGGACAATGACATTAGCAATCACATGATCTTGCTGTGAGGATTACTATCAAGTGCTTAGATCACGGCACCCATGAGCCGTGATCAATGCCCTGCCACCCCATCAGTCCTCATCTTACTGACCCACTGCTAAATATTTTACAGAATGGTTCCTGCTCTGACTGACCTATGCGCCTGGCTTCTGTGACACCACACTTTCTTTGCATCTGGGTCCTGGCCACTACTTTGTCAATCCCTCATAGCTCCTGGTCCTTTTCTCCTCTACATCTTTACTTTCTTTAAAGAATCCCATGAAATTCTGTGGTTTTAATGTCATACACATGCTGAAACATCCTACATATATGCTTCCAGTGTGGGTACCTCCACACCAGTCTAGATTCAGTCATCCAACTATCAGTTGGCACAGTCACCCAGGGTTTCTAACTGTGTCCGGTTTCAGACTTAAAACTCCTCAAACAGACCTAATTCCAATCTCTCCCAATCTTTTTCTCCTATTATTTTCTGTCTTAGTAAATGATGCAATCATATCAAACCCAGAATTATATTTGACTTTTCTTTCCATCACCCCAAAACTCATCCATAACACCTACCAAACCACATCCTGTTGGCCCTACAATCAAATGTATGCAAAATTCATCCACTTCTCCTCATTACTATTGTTACCCTCTTATGCAGAGTCATTATCACCTTTTTGAACTCAGGGTCTACACCTTGAGCCACTCCCCCAGCCTTTTTTGTGAAGGATTTTTTTCAAGATAAGGTCTTGCGAACTATTTGCATGGGCTGGCTTTGAACTGCAATCATCCTGATCTCTGCCTCCTGAGTAGCTAGGATTACTGGTGGCGTGAGCCACCACTGCCTGGCATCTTTTGTTTGAATTAATGCAGTGCTACATAACTAGCTCTCTGCCTCCAAGTCTGGACACTATAAGACACTCAAAATCCACAGTGATTTCTTCCAAGATAAGCCAAGTTACATATTCTAACAAAAATCTCCACTGGTCTGCCATCATATTTAGGATAAAATCCAAGTGCTTTACTTTAAGTGTTAGTTCATTCAGGTCGACATAACACAATACCACACACTGGGTAGCTTATAAACAAAAGACATTATTTTTCATAGTTTGGGAGCTAAGAATTTCAAGATCAAGGAACCAGCAGACTTTGTGTTTTGTGAAGCCCTACTTCACTGTTCAGAATGTCCAGTACTCCCACATGGAAGAAGGGACAAATGAGCTCTCTTGGATGGGTTTTGTAAGAGCACTAATCTCACTCACGAGGGCTCCACCCTTATGACCTGTTCACCTCCCAGAATTCACATGGTGAAGTCCTATGTTGATTCCCTATGAGCCAATATGACACAGATGCATGCATGCAAAGAGGAAAGACACAGTGAAGTCAAGAAGAGAGGTTTCAGAAGAAACCAGGCCCAATTTAGACTTCCAGCCTCCAGAACTATGAGAAAATAAAAATCTGTTGCTTAAGCTGCCCTGTCATGGTATTTTGTTATGAAAGCCATAAGTAAACTAACACAATGTCTCATTTACTCAATGTCCTCAAATATCCAGGCCAAAACCACGACTGAGATGCTATGCAAGCAATCTCTGAATAAAGGTGATTGCAGCATTCTGACCAAAGGGCTATGCGAGAATACTGAGAGATAAATTGAGGCAAGATTATGAATATTTCCTTTATTACACAGATCTCTATAATAAATTATTTTACTCAGTTTATTTATTTATTTGGGGAGGTTGAATTCAGGGCTTCACACTAGCTGAGTATCACTTGAGTCACTCTGCCAACTGTTTTACTTACTTATTAGTGGTGTTATGATTGTTATTTTAATACTAAGACCCACCACTCACTAATGTACTTCCAGAACACATTAAATTAACATAATAAACTCATTAAAAAGAACTCACAGGAACTCTTACCTGCATACTATGCATTTTAGAAGGTTGGTGGTAGTAGAGAGTTATAAGGGAAAGCCTGTACCCAAATGAGAATTTTCTATTTTCAAGCATATTTTATTTGTGTAACACATACTTTATTTTATTTTTTTGGTAGTACTAGAGTTTGAACTCAGGGCTCACATTTGCTTGGGTAGGTGCTCTACCACTTGAGTCATGCCCCCAGCCCCAATATGTATTTAGACTGCAGTTTGGAAAGCGTAATGTCATTTCATGGTCTCACTGTACCTGTAACTTTTCAATAATATTTCTATAATCCCAAGCAGGCCCTCCAAGAGCTTCCTTAAATCGAGGTCCAGAGCGAGCCGAGAGTCTCCAACCCATGGCAGCCCTCTGCACCATATTCGAATGGCTCTTCATGAAAAGGGTATTGACTTGGCTATCCAAATCCACTGGAATGGCAATTCCACGATTTTTTGCTGAAAAAGAAAGATTTAAAGTATTTGTCTTTCAATTTGACTAAATCTTCTCAGATATACTATTCAACACTCTTAGCACAGAATAAATGCTAAAAATCAAATCTTTAAGCTCTGCCATACAGTTGTTTCATGTAACTTCAACAACTTTGAACCTGAAAGCATTTCAGCTCTTCAGACCAAGTAGTAAAGTGGGTCCATTCAGTGTTCAAGAACTTTTTTGACTTCTTGGTGATTAATGTTTGACATGTATGTCATACAGCATCAATACAGGAAAACTCTGTAACAAGCAAGCAAATTTTTTCTTTTCCAGATGCCAAAGAAAATAAGAAAGCGGACAGAAAACACACGGTAAATCCTGCCAATCCATTCATTACTTTAATTAGAGTGTATGTTCACAGCCATGCACACACAAAATTGCATGTGATAAAACATCTGAGATCAGAAAATAAAAAGTTGAAGAGTATAAAAAACATGCCTTAGAAAAGCCCACACGATGTATGTCTTTTTTTTTTCATAAAATCCACTGAAATTTATATTTTAACAGGCCTACATCACAATAACACTGAAAAAGGAGAATGTTTGCCACAAAGAAAATAGAAACGTTGAGGCATTTCTACAAGACAGAATGAAGATATGATTATTCCATCAGAGAAGGAAGAGATGGAATTGTCCCATGGGAGAACAGATTTAGGACAGGTCTTCCTGGGGGCACAACCAATGGATATGAGATGTGGCAAGGAATCAGCTGGAAGAAGCACTGAATAACGGGTACATAAGGCCCTCCTCACTCTGACTAGCATCAACAGAGTTGGCAGCAGCAGGTTTTATCCAGAGGATAAAGATAGAGAAATGCAGAAATGTTCTCTCAAGAAAGTAGAGAACCTGCCTATAGAGAATGCCAAATGAAGGTGTTAGGACTTGACAAAGAAGCAGAACAGAGCTTGATGTAATGCCAAGATCATCAGATAAAGGGCACACAGAGGAAGAGAAGAGGCAGTTCCATCAGAGAGAGAAAATATACTGGACTCCAACCACTGAGCAAAGCCCCTAATTTTAATATTGCTGGTAATCCCATCCTGTATGCTGCTTCTCTCTCTCCCTCACCCTCTCCCCCTACCCCTTCCCCTTCTTTCTCGGTAAGTCTGCATGTCATTTGCTCAAGCCCTCCCACAGAACTTAGGTCAGTCCTGAATAGATTGTAGGGGAAAAAGAGGCCCTCTAAACTGCAGTAGAAACACACCAGCCTCCTGTACCAGTCACTGAAGCCATCCACAATTATGAATACACTTGGTGGGATCACAAGGAAAACCAACAGAATTAAGAATAACCAACTCCAGTAAAAGCAGAGCTGATTCCTAAAGAGCAAAAATATTTAAATAATTCTAATTATTATCCTTACAGAATTTGAGTATGTACTGCATCCAAAACATTAGGAAATCAGAAATAAAGAAAGACATTTTGGAAATTAAAATATTACTGCACAAATAAACATTTAAAAAATTAGCTAAAAAAGAAAAGGATAGCAACAAATTGGTAATCCGGAAAAGGAAGTCAAGGAATATTCTAGAATATAAAGCATAAAAGAACAAAAGTGAAAGTAAATCAGAGAGATTATGAAACAGGGAAGCTCAATCCAGGAAATTTATAACAAACCTAAGTTCCAGAAAGAAACAACGTGGATGTGAGGGCGATCTGGCTATGACATCTGTCACCCCATCGATTGCCAGGGTTGATTCGGCTGATCTGGCTGGCTAGGCGGGTGTCCCCTTCCTCCCTCACAACTCTATGTGTGTCCCTCCCAAAGCTGTGCACTCTCGGTCGAAGAGGGCGACCATCCCTGATAGAGGAGGACCGTTCTTTGGTCAAGGGTACATGAGTAGCTGTGCTCCCCTGCTAGAACCTCTAAACGAGCTCTCAAGAAACAACATAAACAATGGATGGGAAAAAATGATGAAGACAGTGTTCAAATGGAAATGTCCCTCTGTGTGTTAAGAATGACTAAATAAGCATGATGGTCAAATTCTGATGAAACTTTCAAATGCTGGCAATGATTGAAGTATAACCCCCAAAAGTATTCCCAGAAGTCCTTAAAAGCAATACCTTTGAATGTGACCTTACTTGGAAACAAGGTCTTCATAGATACAATCGGGCTGAGTTAAGATAGCTTTGCCTTAATACAATTTTTCCTCTTCTAGAAAGAGGAAAAGAGACACACAGACACATCCAATGGGAAGAGGAGCATATGAAGCTGAAGACAAAGGCTGAGTGGATGCAGCTGCAAGCCAAGGGTTGCAAATGATTGTCAGCACCAGAAACAGAGGTATACAACAGAGTCTTCTGTGGGCCTCCAAGCAAGCATGGTGCTGCCAACACCTAGCCTCAGACCTCTGGTGCCCAGAAACATGGAAATGTAAACTTCTGGATTTAAGTTGTTATGGCTGGTACAGAAACTCATACAAATGTCAAGAGCTAAGAGAAAATCTCAAGAACTTCCAGAGAGAAAAGAAGATTCCTAAAAAGCATGATTGCCACTCCCTATCAGCAGCACACAGTGCTAGAAGACAGTGGCATGTCTTTGAAGAGTAGACAGATGAAAAGTTTTGAAAACAGTAATATATATCCATCTAAACTAAAACTCAAATGTGATACCCCAATAAAAACATTCCAGCACATACAAAGAATGAAAGTTTTTTTCCTCCAATCTCCTACGAAAAAATTACAGCAAGAAATAAGAAAGGAATCCAAGACAAACACATCAACATGAATATAAGAAACAAGGCAAGAACCTGGAAAATGAAGCTAGAAAGGAAAAGAAGATTCATAGCTATTAATGGTTAGGAAAGTCTCTTTCAGTGAAAAAGTTTTAATATCATGGTATTACATTTTTTTGTCTCAAGTGGTTATACAGTAAAAAAAATTTATACATAATTTGTAAGTTCTAATAATTGATTTGCAATGTTTATCAACCTATAAGATTTAATGATCGTTCAAAACAGAATAAAAATATCAAAAATCGTAACAATGGAAGGCCAATGATACAGAGAGTAATAAAACACAGTGATAGGAACGAGGGAAGAGAGAAGGAAAAATGTTATTCTCCTTCTATTTCAGTGTGAAGCACATTTTCTGTATTAACTAGCCTTTCTCATTGTGGTGACAAAATACCTGACATAAACAACTTAAAATGAGAAAAGATGTATTTTAGCTCATGGTTTCAGAGATTTCAATCCATACTTCTTGATTCCACTGATTCCTTTCCTGTGATGAAAGAACATTATGGTGGCAAAAGCATGTAGAGGAGCTGATCACCTCGTGGCAGAAAGGAAGCACAGAGCAAAAATGAGGCACTACCCCAGTGACCAATTCATCCAACTAGGCCCCATCTCCTCAAGTTTCCACCTCCTCCCAAAATAGTGCCACTAGCTGGGGACAAAGCCTTCAACACAGGAGCTTGTAACATCAACTCATTCAAACCATAGCACATGTAGACATTATTTAGACATTATTATCAAGAAAACAGAGCTACTGAATCATATTTAAAGTTATTTAAGAGTCACTTTATTTTAAATGAATGAAGATAAGAAGAAAGGAATATAAAGAAACCATACAGAGAGAGAGAGAGAGAGAGAGAGAGAGATGGACAGACAGGAAGACTGACTGACAATTTGGCTTGCTTCATATAAAGGAAAAAAAGCAACAACAGCAGACAGTACTTTCTGCTGGTGGAAATTCTCCAAAGCTGAAAGATACTTAAAAAACTCCTTTGAAAATAAGCAACCTTTGCTAACAAAAACAACAACAAAACACAAAATTAAAAAACCAAACAGATACTAATTTAAATACACTCTTGAGCTGAAGCCTTAAGAAGGAGTGACAACTCTAAGACAATCTACAATGCTCACACTTCCCTAGTGAATGCTGTCTAGTATTCAGGATAAATTCCCTGATCCAAAGCCCTCGGGGTTTCTGTCCATGTCCTTTTCACACAGTGGTGCAAGTGTACCTCTGTCCCACGTGAAGGTCAGACGGCCTCCACACAGCTGAGGGACACATAGTGTTAATAAATACTGAATGCCACACCATGGCCAAACCCTGGCTACTTGGTGCCCTTCTCTGGCTGCTTTACACATAAGCTGTGTTAGCTCTGAACATCTGAAAAATCAAACAGAAGACACCAGGAGCGTAGTGCTCCTCAAAACGATCACAACCAAGTCATCACTGACACTTAACAAATGGATTCATCTCTCCTTCAGGAATCAGATATGTTAGATGCAAGATCCTAGACTCCGTCAAGGGAGTCTGCTTGTATAGGAGGTGCCAGAACATACTTTTCTAGCCACACTGTGAAGGTTCAGTTTAACTCTTGTGCCTCCGTTATTAACAACGTGGCCCTTTTATTACTGAGTGCAGGAAAATCTCAACCACCCTCCAGGTTCCCCTGTAAATCAATACACCTACACATTCCCCTGTGGACAGCACAATGGACAAGACACACTGGGCAGACTCTGCCATCCTAAACTCTGATAAAGGTTTCTGTTTCCTCAAACAGGGTCATCATCTAGTCTCCTGTACTCACATACATGGCACAGTATAAATTAGCCAGGTAAAACATACCACTATCCCATCCCTCAAGGTAAACTCGAGATGATGGATAAATCACAATACCTAGGAAATAAAAGAAAATGAACTATGCAATTGATGAAGATTATTTGATTACATAAAGTCAACTGTACAGATAATAAAGTCTTATCAAGCAATTATAAAAACATGACGATCTCTAAAGGTATGATCTGAAAAAGATTCCGTGCACTGCCAAAACAGTATGTCTGTCAAAACTGACAATTCTAATTTAGCTTTCTATATATTGTTTTGAAATTAAAGAAAACATTTAAGCAGAAACGAACACTGCAATTAGGAGAAGAATTAGCTTATCTCACTTATAAGAACATTAACTACTGGAACAATATTCTTCAAATACAACCCGAAATATGATTGAAAGT